TAAGTATCCAGTTCACTTTGTTCATCTTCGCACCATGAATTCTTCATGAACTGGGTCTTCGGGTGTTTCTGCACAGCCCAATCTTATTTCCCGCTTCGTTCTTCTTTTTGCGCTACTTCCATCACAGCTGCGAATCTTTTTGGGCTCATTGAAAAGGGCGTATACACTGAATTAATACATATTTAGTAAATTCATAAGCCATTCTATAAGCTAAATGAGTACTCAGCCAGCTCGATGAAGTTTGATGAAATCTAATGCATAGCGCATTCTTAACAGATTGCTAGAAACCAAGACCTATTCGGTGCTTTCACTTATGAAGATAAGAAGAACACCAAATGAGTGTGAGTGATTTTAGCCAAAGTTTATTCCGGCCCAACAATTCCAAAAGCCTCTGTCACCACTCGGAGATCATCGAGGTTTGTTTTTTCTTCTATATTTTTAATGGATTAGTCGCTGCACAAGCAGTGCGTTGTGTTTCTCGAATGTTAACTATTAAACTATTAGACTATTGGACTAACTCAACTAACTTATATAACTGTTAATTTTATCAACTATGCGGGAGATGCGCTTTGTGTTTCCACCAACAGAGGCCGGAAAACAACTTTACTACAAATATATATTAAATTCATAAATAAGCGCTAAAGTGGATCGGTACATCCCACCTTTGAGTGAATTGTTACTAATCGATGTTTTAGTTGGGAAACTGCCGATGAGGATTCCCGTGTTCAGTAATGGCGTTCCAAAAGGCCGACTTCCTAGGCCAACTGGGGTATGTTTGTATAGAATTCCTCTATAGAGCAATCGATTCACTCAGTTTTGCTCGAATAGACTATTCTGAAACTGTCTGCGTTAAACATTATGTCTCATTCATTCTATTATAGTTAGGATCAGCAAGACTAAAGCGATCTGTTCTTTCATGTTTTCATGATCACTAGAACGGTTACCTTTCCGTTATCCGCCCTCAGTTATCCTTCGCGAAAAACGTGTACTTTTTGCATGCTTTCAAAGTTTGAGTAATCATTCGATAGCATAAATCTTTTAAAAAACTTAGAAATATACTTTACTTTTAGAAGCCTTTTTGGCGCTGTAACCGCAAGATAAAATTATGTTCCTCATCTAAACAATTCTCGCACAACAAAGATTTTCCTTCAGACTAATTCGACAGACCATTTGACAGCTTCAGTCTCGAAAATTCCACTGATGTATTAGATTTCTAAGAGAAATTCATGGTATGCCCTAACAATCAAAAGAAGGTTGGATTTCACAAATGTGGTGCCAGAAGAAGCGCGGTGGCTTAGTGGCAGTGTTGCTCAGTCCTCTCTGCATACCGGCAAAACGTGGTGTCTTGGTGCTATTGTCGCGCTGCGTGAAACTTAGCTTTCTTTCGGCTACTAAACCGCACTAAAAAGTTCTTCCTAGAAGCCAATTATATTATTGGAATTGGCGATATTCAAACTATCGAATGATTATAGAAGTCCAAAGAAAAATTTCCATCAAGAATTGTTTGAATGAGAAACATAATTTCATTTTTCTAATAATCATTTTTGGACCAACATGTTATGTGTTCGTTTATGGGCAACGTATAGAGCTTGACACACGTGTTTCGGCCTTAACTGCCTCATCAGTTGAGCAGTACCCTTCATCTTAACCAAATTTTTTTTTGCTGATACAGCGCAATAATAAAGCCATTTCAAGAATAAAAAACACCATGATATTTTCAAAATTTAAATCATTAGATAATTGTTAGAACCTAAAGAAAGGTAAAAGGTGCGTTTTTTGAAGGGATTGAGGAAGGGTGCGGATAACGATAATGATCCAAAATTGCTGAACTCAATCTTCTTCAGCTGTTATAGAGTAATAAAAAGTCCTCTTCAAAGATCAAATACCACTGGATCTGTCGAAATTCAAGCGAATGGTTACTGAAAGTTTAGAGGAAGAGCTTTGTCCAGCGAAATATGTCTGAATAGAAAATATAATTCCATTTTTTGCCATTACAGTGCATTGAAAAGACCATTTAGAAAAGTATATTTCAAAAATTTTTGATTTATAAGCTATTGAATGACTACTCAAACTTTGAAAAGAACCAAAAAATACGTTTTCTCTTATGAGCCGAACGGAGGACGGATAACGGAAATGATCTTCGCACGGAGAATATAGCACTCTACAATGAAAATTTCACTAATGAATGATATTGTATAATATTTTTTTCCTTTTTTTCTCAAACTTTTGACTTTTTTAGTTTGACTTAACTTCTAGATCACATACTTCTGTTTCTTTTAGTTTCCTTAGCCACTTAGGACATCATTGTATCACATCGTGAAGAAAGAAAAAAAAAATTTCGTTTGATTCCTTCTCGCTACGATTTAACTGATTATTCAGCAGGGTGAGCGTGTCCCAGGATATAGCTTTCAGCGACAAGTTGGCCAATTTCATAACAACAAACGTCGATTTCGAGGTATCAGCTTCAAAAAAGACAGGTGTGGTTCGTTCAAACTTTCAATCAAAAATTAAAGTTGTTAAAGTATGAAAAGAATTGTTGGAATCCGTTTCTCAAACTCTACTCCCGCTGAAGGTGTAGCCTTTGATTCTTCTGAAATACGAGAGCATTTTTCTATTCAAATTAAGCAAAAAATCATGAAATCTGGAAACATAGTAATCTTTGTTGAAGAATAAGTGTTTTAAATCGTCCTAATAATTTGTTATTCATTCACTAATCTGATTGATTATAAATAATCGGAACAGGAAACTACCAGAGCTTCTATTTTATTTGAGCATCGTCTTTCACCAACACCAAGTAGTAAAAACATTTCATAATTTGTATTTTCCTCTTTGTTCCTTAAAATGAGACTGAAAGAGTGACAATCTCATGTTGCATTCCCCAATACCGACTATCGATTAACCTAGACATTGTTCTGTTGCTTATGTGTTTATTGATGAGCATGCACGAGGATGTCAACAATTCAATTTATCCGAACAATACACCACAATAATAAAGGATGATGCTTTGGCAGATTCGCTTACTTCAAAGCGCGAAAAAGTCAAGTTGGTATGTTCTACTCGGCGGAACACTCTCTCACAACCAGCAGATAAAGCTTAATATATAGATATTTCGTTGGATATTACACAACTACCACCAAATACTCACGTTTCGTTATTTTGCGGTCCTCTAGTTATTATTGGATATCAGATGCACGAAGTCCTACATGAACGAGGAGTGTGCAAAGTCGATCTGAGACATGATACTAAACCACACGTGATGACGAGGCACTCATCCTTGCGGTTTATTCTTGGATTTTCGCATAAATTCAAAGCGCTGTGGGAGTTGGACGCGTTTAGATTCTGTGTTCTTGCGAAAGGCGATTACTTCTACTCTAAAACCTTCTCCGTCATGTCCCTGGGTCTTAGGCGCGCCTAATGGGGTAGTTGGTATGATTCTGAGATTACCGCTAGTGCTCTTTTTATACGGAGGCGGAGTGGTCTGTACGTATCGCCAGTGTGTTAGTCTTCGCACGCTTTACAATTTATGTAGTCGTAACTGAACTCATGCAGCTACCATTACTACCATTACGGAATGTTATGCAGTTTACGTAGTGCATGAACGGTCATACAGGCGGACACGAACTACGTGTTAAGATCCGGCGGTGTTTCAAGCATTGCTGCCGATTCTTTTAGGTTTCCCGTTTTTATACAGCGTTTCATAGCTATAGTTATGTCGTCGGAAATGAAGGGTTGAGTAAATGGGACCTTGTTCTCTATGAACTGATCGTTTAGGGGTTTGATATTCTCTTTAAGCCTAATCAGAGGAGCCAAAGTTTCTTAGCTATCAAAAAAGCTTGTTTTCCGTAGCAACTTTGGGGCTTCTTGTTTCTGTTTCTTTTTGTGCACACGCTAGCGACTGTGAAAAAAATAATTCTCACAATCGCATTTTTTGTGTATAAAGGTTGAGAGAAGAGATTGTGAACCAGTACATTTTTGTTACTTGACTTTAGGCAACATTTGGTGGTGTAACCATTTTCGAACAGGTTGATCTGAATGTCTGAAATGTAACCCGATCCTTCTTTGGTTTCTCTCGAATGGATTCTATGTGCTGTGATTGTTTGTTTCGCAATTCGAAACACCTGCCCATTTCCTCTTTTGTGTTAAGGATGTGAGGAATTGATCGCCGATATACCTATACTATATAGGGACCGGTGACTCACTTCTGAACTTCAACTTTAGGCATGAACAAGACTACATACCAGTTTCTGTTTCGTATCGATCCCCTCATTTGTGTGTAGTATTTTCTATACCATCTGAAGATTGAACACTTTAGGCGCTCTTTTTATTGGGCCGTACGCTGCTGAATTGAAAATCCACACATAATTGTTGGTCCTACAGACTACATCAGACGAAAAATAGCATATATCACGAATCATTCGACAAGTTAGAATTTATGAAGGTAACTTTTGGAGGAATCGACCATGTGCGTGATGCTAGACACGTATTACCTAAACGATACAGTAGAAACGAGATGGATGCGTCTTAAAAACAAGAAGTCTATTAGGTTTACAGGCGCAGTTATTCAATCCACGGGTCCGTCTACACAGTTGATGATGTGTCCGTACCAGTTGAATTGATGGTAATGAAGCAGAGATTGGCACCATGTCTTGCCATTGCGCCTTATTGATGAATGTTTAGATCAAGCTGCTCAAAAACGGCTCCACTATCAAATGGTGTCAGAATTCAAGTACGAAAGATATTCTCATTCATCACCTCTCCTCGCGGCCTTCACCCACGAAAGGATGCTTGGAAGAAATATGTATGGTCACGATTCAGTGGTTTGTTGTAGTCGCTGAAAGTGTTCTGCCATGCGGGGATCTCACACTTTATTAATTACACCTTTGTATAAAAAACAACATAAGTGGGTTCGATGTCGACGACGACTACCCACGCCAGACCGTTGACGGTTGGCTGTTGAGAGACAATGCGTTGTAACGTAGAAAGAGTGGTGTAAAAAACGGGAATCGGTAGTGCAACGGTTCGGCACGCGCTCCCGGAAAGAGTGAGATCTGGGTTCGAATCCCAGCTGACGCAAACGTTTTTTCATACCACTCTACATTGTTGGGTGTATTGTAACATCTTACCACCGCAGGTGGCCGTCAAATAAAATGATTTCTGAAAGATTATCAAAACAACATTATTAATACGACGAAAATTAACAAAGGCAATTATTAACGGTGTAGGAAGTTAACGAGACTATCATACAATGAATACATAGCACATGGACACATTAAATAGTGCGCTACGATGAACAAGAGACAACTTGATATAAGATTAGAAGTATGATCGCATTTGGATGGTGCTGAGAGCAGCAACGACTTAGCCCACTCAACTAGTACCCATGACCAGAAGTGCAGGCGAACGCCAGTGTTAGACAGTCAATATATTCTTACATTTGACTATAGCTGCGAAGAACAATGAGGTAACCAGATCAATCAATCATTCGGGAGACGGTTGTGTAAAACGCCAATAACCGAAAAAAATCTGGTGAGAACCCGTTAACAAACTGCCCATAGACCAACGTGCTCCCATAACCCGCAATAAGCAACCCAACGAACGAAGAATTGAGTAAAAAAGAACAACAATAACGAAAACAATAACAATAATAACAAAAAATAATAATAACACTCGAAAGAAAGGTATAAAGAAAAACTATTACAATGAGCGGCCCGCTCCTCAGCAAAGGACTCAGTGTACGAAGAAGAGTTAAAGATAAGCTGGCACAAGGAGCGGTTTAATTACTGTGTAAACTCAATTTAATTACAATGTGGTGTAGTGTAAAACCGACGAGTGATTAGGACGACCATGACGACGGGCAAAGGCGTGAAGAGAAGTGGTGGATGAACTGTTTTCTGCCGTCGCACATTGGTCGACTGCTATTCGTTCTTTTGTTGGCAGTGCTGACTGGAGTTCTTTTCCCGCCACATCGATTATCGGACATGGATCAACTGTTCCGACAATAAATTCCGTATAGATGCCAGTATGTGCACCGGGAAGAAAACTGAATGATTTTCCTTGAACTCGATGTGAGAAATAGCCATTACCAATGCTTATCCAGGATGTAGCCTCTGAACAGGTTTGAGAGGAAAAAAGCCGACCCCCAAAAAGCAGTTCAGGGAAAATGAGGTCCTTACAACCTACTTTCAATTCAAACAAAATAAGTTTGCCTAGAAAACGCTGTGTAAAAGCGATCAGGTCTAGAGAAATTCATATCACTGATGGGAATACCGCCAAACAACTACTATACGCATTTCTTATTGCATGCATTACCTTCTACGCACAACGTTGAATTACGTAATATGCCGTAACGGTAGAAACGTTAATTGCATGAGATCGAGTACAATTTACCTATTTTTTAGTAAACTGTGAGAGGAAGAAAACATTGGCGAAACCGAGAGCCACTTTGTATCCGTATAAAAGAGTAAATTTAATTACAAAGCAAATGCTCCACTAGTCTCGGATCGCATTGGACTCGCACATAACGAGGAGAACTTTGGAGCCGTTATCACTATCCTCTCACGGAAACACATTACCACAGCGCGTGAAATTTTGGAAGCATTCTGGATAGACGCGATCAAACTAGACATGGGCCGTAGTAAGGAATATCTTGTTTCTTGTGCGATGTGGCACAATGCATGGGACGGTAATTTTATAAATCCATCTCATAGACTGATTTTGAAACCTCACTATGAACATTCAACATATCTGTAAGAACGTCCAAAGCATTACCAAGTTGCTATTGCAAGGCCATAGGTACGTTTCGAAGGTATCGCCCTTGTGGGCCACTGAGGTTGAAGGAGAAACGTCCATTGGCTCTGTCGTAACATTCAGATATTCTTACTATATATGTTAAATGTTTTAATGTTTATAGCGAGGTATATAGTTTTAAATGTTTATAGCGAGGTTTTAAAGTCGATGACATGGAGTTATACGTATTTAATATCAGCCGGAATCCATCTAGTGAAAGAAATGATGATAACACAATATCACGTGTCATCACCATAATGCCTCCCTATCCCCGCTATAGAGAAGAGTTCAGTGTGATGCATGGGCCACTGATGAAGAGGTTGATACCTCCGAAACGTTGTTCGTATGGCTCTGGCGTAACAACCTCGGTAAGGCTCCAAACATTCTTACAGGATATATTGACTGTTGTTTTAATGTGAGAGGGCACATTGGGAGTTGAGGTGAAATTCGATGCTGTTTATTTGAACAACTCAGTGGGAGATTGTAAAAGCGGTGAATATAAAAATTCGGTAAGCTTCTGGTGCTATAGACATCTAGGTTTAGTGATCTTCTTTGTTTGAGTAGTGAGGGTATTTGATTGACTAAGTTGTAGACGACCTGATCCATGTTTTGAAGAATGCTCAGGATTCTTTATGTTTTCTCTTTGTTTTTTCTTTTTGCAATATTACGATGTTTCAGAGCCTAAGAGAACTGAGTGGTGAGCAAAAAATTCGACCACAGGCGGGAGTTGAACCCACGTTTCACACATACCGGGGCGCGTGCTACCACTACATCACGGGGCCACCGTTAAACTTCATTCTTCAATCTCTCTATTGTAGCCATCAGCCACCAACCTAGAAGAGGTTTGATCGGGTCTCTTAGATATATTTGAAGATAGCTTCGAAACGTCAACTTTCAGAACAAATTTTATCACAACACTTTTATGTTCTGACTTATGAAGAAAAACGGTGAAATATTTATGCAATCAATTTATCTGTTTCGGTTATGATAGTGTTTGATTAGGGCAGCCAATTTGACTTTTCCACTCTTTGAAGAAAGCGTGACGGTCGCAACGTCAGGTATTACTGCGATACTGTATTGTACTTGACAGAACTCACCGTTAACATCCTCGTGCCTGATCATCACAAAGCGTAATTACCTCGTTAGTAATTCGGATGCAGCATAAAACCTCTGGAGAATATTAGAAGAAACAATGAAAATTTCACGAAATCTCCTGCACAATCTACTAGATTAATCCGCTTTGTCATTTCAAAAGTTAGCAATTTTTTTATAAAGAAATGAATACCTGCAAGGTTAATTTAAACGAGTACTGCAGATCCCTAGTACATTTCCTATTCGTTTCCTCTAAATGCCGTAGTCCGTGGCGGTGCTTTGATCCCAAGATACTGCTAGTCTCACGACGTGATCTTCAAATATCGAGTACATCTGATGGATTCTATTCATAAACATGCCCGTACCAAGGCAAGTGGCCATTTTAAACAACACCTAAATCCTCGTGGAGTTCATTCTATAATTCTTCTCGTCTATCTTTCGTCTGCGCTTTCCAGTACACCACCGATGTGTATTCTTCTACGTTCTGAAGATGATTTAGATTTCGCAGATCTTTATTCCGCATTGTGCTTAAGAGGAAACTGTGCCGGTTATACATTAGAAAAGGTTGCTGAATCTTTGTGGGTGGAGCGCCCTTGACGTGACTGAAGTATCAGCCCACATTTCTGCTGCATCACAGAGCTAGGAGGACTGTTAAAACGGAAAGTGAGCGGTTTTAGTAATCAGAGAGCTATGCAGTTCGTCTTACCCGCAATCGCAATGAACTGCGTTAATTTGCGATGAATCCATATTCTTTTTTTCCGCTTGTTGAGCTCATTTAACATCGTCTCTGCATCGTTGGTACTTTCTGAAAAGATGACAATGTTGTCATATAAACGAAGAATTGGTATGAGTTTGAATGGAAATTCTCTTTCAGTTTCAGTCAGTCCCTCTCTGTCTAGTGTATTGCAAAGTGAACAGTTTTCGCGATAATGTGTCTGTTTTCGGCACTTTTTTGTGTTTTCAAAGTATCCATTCGTTCATCGTGGATTTCGAAAAACCATTGATATTGCGTATGCATTTCTGAGGTAATGGCTTAAGGCCGAGTGCAAGTCTCTGTTTTTGTGGCACAATACCAATGGCAGTTATCTAGTAGTTCTCGTAATAGAACGAATCCATTTGTTCATTGAAGAACGCTGGTGGGACCGAATCGTTTCGTCGAAGTCAAACGGCTTCTCGTAGTCAGTAAAGGTCAAGAAAAGAAGCAGATGGTACTCCCGACCGAAATCTATGATCCGCGACACGGCATGGAAATGTTCCTTGCAATGGAGCAGCAAAACCCTTGTCAATCTGCTTGCCCTACTGATTTTTCTTTCGACCATAGTGCTTAATATGCGCTGAAAGATAACTTCTGTAGAAAGTTTGTATAAAACTACCAACAATCATAGCGGACTATAGTTGCCAAGATCCCTGGTCATCCTTTTTGTGCTTGATGACCATGCACGACGTCCACCACTGGTTCTACTTTATTTCTGTTTCTGTAGGTAAGGTATTATATGGTTACCGAAAAATAATATACTATCGTTTCCTGAAGCTGTGCATTTTCTGTCCTCTATCACAACTAAAATCTCTGAAGAAGAAATCTGAGGGGTATTTATCTAATGGATACGTGCGGACTCGCGATTGGGAATGAGAACTGTAAAAGTACAATTAAATAGAGTTTAAAACTCTAAGAAATGAGACTTGGTGTAAAACATTCCCGTTATCAAATTCACGTTATGGCTTAGAGTTCTAGTGATCTCATTTTCGTTCAACAAGACTGAAAGCGGGAGTTTGCGCTCGCGAAGATCCAGACAGCATTTCTTAAGACTGATTTTTTTTCTGCGCCGCCGCTGACAGTTTCTTTTACCTGTGCTAAAGAATGTCCTCTTCTGAAGTTTTCTACAACAGATACCTGATAATAGTCTTCTTCAAGGTTTTACAGTAGTATCAGTCTTTATTTGCCTTCTCTTCTCCATCACTTCAGTGGTAATAAAGATGCTAACTGATCTTTTTGTTTGAATGACTCACGCGAGTTCGGCACAAGTTTCAGTGATTTTATCCTCTCAGAAAAATCTAGTATCAAATTGTGGAGTATAGAGGGATGAGGACTTGATACTCTAAGCGCGGGTTTGAGGAGAGATTGCATTGCAGGGAACCTATGATCTAGCGCTGCATAAGATACGGAGAAGTTCCAAAAATTGATACAGTCCATTTTG